TTTTTTTAGTACTGGGAATTGAACCCAAGACCTCATGCTTGCCAGGCAGGCGCTGTGCTGCTGAGCTATATCCCAAGCCTATTTAGGTTTTTGGAGACATGTAGGTCACTATGTAGACTTGTAGTTCACTGTGTGGTCCAGGCTGGCCTTGAACTCACAGCAATCCTCCTGCCTCAGCCTCTCTAGTGCTGGAGTTCCAGGTGTGCACCATCATGCCTGGGCCATATAACCTTGAGAGGCATCACGGATGATTTCCTCCTCGCCTGTGTGCGTGACCGCCTAACCCACCCCTCCCCGGGCCACGTCGGTTGATTTTCATTTTGGATAGGCCAGCGCGTGTTGTGCAGGAAAGCGCCACACCAGTGTGAAGGCTGCCGCCGATCGGGCTTAGGAGCCTTACCATCAGGATCGCTCTGGGTTGGCAGAAGCAGGGGTGCAGGACTGTCCACTCTGGGGCCATGAGGGCAGCACAGTGGGCGGGGCGGGTGGGAGGAGCAGAGGCTGGAACACAGCCCAGTCCCATGGCCTCTGCCCCTGACCGATGTGTGGGGAGGAGAGGAAAGGAGGCTGGGCCTGGGCCCAGGATGAGGTCGCCGGGAGCTCGAGCAGCCTCTCCCGCTTCCAGATGAGCCGCGGCCCTAGCGGCCGAACCCAGCCGTGCTGGCGAGGCCGATGCCGGCGCAGCGGTCCGGGCCCCGCCCCCATCTGGAAGGAGTGAGGTCTGGCTCTGCGGTGGACTCCGGGCTGGCCTGGGACACACAGCAGTGCATCAGCCCAGGAGCAATTTGAGAAGAGAGAGGAGCCCATTTGCACCAAGCCAACGGAGAGGGAGAAATCAAACAAAATTCTAAAAACACAGAAAAGGCCGGACTTTCCCCGCTTGCTGAGGGTGGAACATTCTTGTGGGCATTTGCTGGTCTCATTCCCAGATGTGGACCAGCGCCCAGCCGGCTGTGCCCTCTGGGGTCGCCGCCTCTGCTGTCCCCAGGCAGGGGGCTGCCCCTGCAGAGCTCCCAGGCCCTGTACTTCTGAGGGGGTCGGGGACGCGGCCGTCCAGGGCGCGGTAGCCAGAGACCCAGGTCTGTGCTCCCGTCAGGCAAGCCCCGGAGAGGAGGAGCGCAGCGGAGCACATGCCCTGGCCCCCACGGGGCGGGGGGTGGATGATCTCATCACATTTTCCACCGCGACCTCCTGACTGCTTTAGAACCGAGCTGGGGCGGCTGAGCTTGAGGGAATCAGGGTCACCGGCAGGGCTGGGTGTCAGCGTGTGCCAGGCTTGGGGTCTGCCTCAGTTGATCCTCACAACAGCTCCCAGGGAAGGCAGTATTCTGCTCACCGCTCTGAAGATGAGGAAAACGCAGCCCAGAGGGTTTGCGTTGTTCAGCCAGGGCACTCAGTGAATCGGAGGCGGAGGCAGGACTTGAGCCGGGCTGTCGACGTCAGAGCGCCAGCTCTCAGTCACTCTGGAGAAATGGACACGGAATGTCAGGCTGGGAGTGGACATTCGGAAATCGTGCTGGGTGTGGTGGTGAGCACCTGCAGTCCCAGCACCCGGGAGACTGGGTCACTGTGAGTGGAGGCCATCCTGGGCTACACACAAGACCCTACCTAGAAAAAGAAAAAACTGCTTTAATTCCAAATGGCAGTGGGTTAACGAGGCCAGGGCAAGCAGGAGAGGGGACCTGGTGGTGGCCCCAGCACCTCCACCGTGCCCCGTCTCCCGGCAGGAGCACGTGGGCTGGGGTTCCAGTTCTCCTGGGGACATGGTGGTGGCCACGCTATGTTTTGGGGAGGCGCGCGGAGCCTCCCAACCCGGCCTCAGAGCTCCGGTCCCGAAGGGGAACAAGGCTCCGCGTGCTCCCCGGGCCAGGGGCCTCCCCAGAGCCCGGGTTTTGATGTGGTGGCCAGATGTGGGGAGCACAGGGGTCACCCTGCCTGCTGCAGCCAGACCACACTGCTTTGTGTTTCTGCACATACTCGGTGTGACTGAACAGTGTGCGTGTTTGGGGTCGTTAGAACAATTATTACAGTGAAAGACACATAGCCAGGAACCCCTCAGAATACCGCCCCGCACTCCCACACCCTTCCCCGTCGTTCTTGCTGCTTCCCGAAGCAGTCCTGGAGCCCTCTTTCCTGAGGGTCTGGTTGTGCTGTCCTGGCTGCCTCGGTGTCCCGAATCGATTTAAAACGTTTCCCTTTCACGGTCACGTTGGCTTTGGGGAAGAGCCAGCGTCACGCGGTGCAGACCCTGTGAACAAGCTGGACGAGGACCACTCGTGTTTTCTGTGAGCTGCCTTTCCCTGGGCATTGTGGTCACTGTACTTTTGATCACATCTCGTAAAGGAAAGAGGAAAGAGGACTCCAGGACAGCTTCAGAAAGTGGCGAGGGCAAGGCTGGGCGTGGTGGCGCACGCCTGTAATCCCAGCACTCGGGAGGCTGAGGCAGGAGGATCGTTGTGAATTCGAGACCAGCCTGGGCTACAAAGTGATCTCAAGGCCAGCCTGAGCTGCATATCGAGACCCTGTCTTAACAAGACCAAAAAAATAAAAAGAAAGTGGCGAGGCAGTGGCGTGAGTGTGTTCAGGGTAAGGGGAGGGTGTTGAGGGGGATTCACAGCTGTGTGTCTTTCACTGTAATAAACTTGAAAAACTTTACATATTGGTCACCTGTTCAGTCTCATGACAAACCGGCCAAAGCTGAGCTCTGTAGCTGCCGGCCCAGAGGACACCCTGGCCTGAGGCTGGCCCTTTCCTCCGGGGTCTCTGGGAAGGAAGGAGCCCTCCCCACCTGCACAGGCTGTGGCAGGGTCACCTGCAGGTCCCGTGAGTGCAGAAGACCCGGCGCCCCCTCCTGGCGTGGACGTTGGCAGGCACCTGAGGGAGGTACGCCTCCTCTCAGGGAGAAACACCTCCTTCTTTTTTTTTTCCGTCTTTTTGAGACAGGGTCTTGCTATGCAGTTCAGGCTGGCCTTGAGCTCACTTTGTAGCCCAGGCTAGCCTTGAACTTGCAATGATTCTCCTGCCTCAGCCTCCCGAGTGCTGGGATTACAGGCATGTGCCACCATGCCCGGCCTCGAAACTGCTCCTTCTTTACTGATTCTCCCAAAACATTCCTGGAAAAGCTGAACATCGTTGTTGGGTGTCTGAAGCGGCGGGTGCTTGGGGTCTAGGTTTTACGGCAACCTTGGAGATGATGTTAAAGCGGGGTCTCCAGGCGGAGGAGGCTGCCGGCAGGGGGCAGCAGAGGGGCGAGCAGGACTCTGAGGTCAGGTCCAGGGTGGACCCAGCAGTGCGGACCCAGAAACTCACTCCCAGATGCAGACCAGTGCCTGGCTAAAGAAAGCTACTCTGAGAAAAACTGGGACTATGCTGCAAGCGTCCTTTCTTTCTCCTCTTTTTATTTTTGACAAAGCCAAAGGTATTTTGTTCTCGAGGGTATTTTGTTCTCCCGTGGTATTGCTCAAACAACCTTTTCTTGGATGGTGGTGTCGCCAACCTTTAATGCCACAGTCCGCTTACAAATGGCTCACGCCCCATCAGACCCCGCTCTGAAGCCTCACCTGTACCTGGTCCTTTCACCCTCCCCCTTGCCTAACATGGCAGGTGCTGGCATTGTCCCCGTGTCACACACAAGGAAGCTGCGGGACTGGTGAGCTCAATAACGTGCCTGAGGTCTCGTGGCTGGAAAGCGGTGGACCTGGGATTTGAACTCTTGGAATTGTGTAGATGAGTCAGGCGGGCACAGTTGCTATGTGGAAGGGGAGCTTGAAACGGGAGCCTGATGCTTCCAGAGTTTCCTGAAATCCGAACCTGCAGTGTGACAGACACCTCCAGTCTGTGTGTGTGGGTTACTGCTGATATTAAAAAGGGCCACCGAGCTGGGCATGGTGGAGCACAGCGCTAACACTCTGGGAGGCTGAGGCAGGAAGACTGCGAGTTCAAGCCTAGCCTGGGCAATTTAGCAACTTAGGGAGACCCTGCCTCAAAATAAAAATTAAAAAGGGCTGGGGGTGTAGCTCAGCACAAAGGCCCTGGATTCAATACCCAGTACCCCACCCCCACCAAAGAAAAAGACCACCGAGAGATAAATAAATTACACTTGTAAACGTCATCATCCATTTGTGGCCTGTGGAGAAATAGCAGTTCTTAAAAATTTCACTGGGGATATAGCTCAGAGGCACAAGTGCCTGCGTGGCAAGAGGAAGGTCCTGAGTTCGAGTCCCAGTACCAAAAAAATATATTAATATTCACAGCACTAAAATCCTGGTCTCCCCGGGCCTCCTGGACCGTGGCAGTCCCTGGTCTGGGGCAGTTGTACCTGGACAACACTGGAAAGGAACGGCTCCACGGTGGTAGGGGAGAGGACGGCACAGCGACGGTGCAGAGCCTGGTGCTGTGTGACCGCCGCAGAGGACTCAGAGCGGGGGCAGGATGGCTCGTCACAGCCCTAAGTGTCACAACTGGGAAACTCAGGAGCAGTCACAGCTTAGACGTTTCTGGCTCCGGGATAATCTGCCCGTGTGTGACATGCGATCCTGAGCATTCCACAGCTGCTGTGGTCTCCCTTATCCTTGTCTTCACTGTTTTCTGGTCTCCTTTTTGCTTCTCTCTTTGGGAAGAACACGGGCAGCCCAAAGACCTAGTTCTGCGTCCTGCTATGGCCACTAACTCGTAGGGAGAGCCGTCCCCAGCTATCTTTTTTTTTTCTTACCTAGCAATATATCTTTTTTTTTTTTTTTTTTTTTTTAAAGATAAAAGGAGGGAAACATTAACAGACATACATTTTACAACATATCACAAGCACAATACAGACAATACAGAGTTACAAACAAAGTGGTAGGGAATTAACAATGGTGGTTGTATTACATATTGATATCTTCAAAGTGGCTTCTCATGAAAACAGATATAAACATGCAATACTGGTCAACCAAAGACTCATTGACAGTTTCTTTCAGCCTAGAAATAGAAGACAGAAGAACAACCATGTTATCTATCCCGTACATGTCTTTCAAGGCTCTTGTAAGGTGACATGAAAACACCTGCTAAAAATATAACCTGGTGTTGCGGTTTGTGTCTAGATGTCCCCCCAAAGCCTCACGCTTTTGGAGGAGGCTGAGTCTACAGTTTATGATTGACTCGTGGTCTAGTGCTGGGATTAAGGATGTGAGTGGTACACCCGCCCTAGGGCAGGTAGCCTGCATACAGTATAAGGGACAGAAAGAGGCTTGCTCTTTCTTCTTTCTTGTTGTTTTTGCTGTCTTCCGATGCATGAATGATTGCCCCTCTGCCAGGCCACCCTGCCTTGGAGCCAGCTGATTACGGACTGAAACCTCTACAAACTTTAAACCTTTCCTCCTTTAACTTTGGGTGTTGGGAATTTTGGCTCAGCAACCAGAGAAAAGTAACTAGAACACTTGGGAAGCTGGGTAGTGTGTGACTATAATCCCAGCACTTTGGGAGGCTGAGGCAGGAGGATTGCAAGTTCAAGACCAGCTCCTGCAACTTTGTGAGACTCTGTTTCTAAATAAATAAACAAACAAACAAACAAATAAAAGGGCTGGGGATGTAGCTCAGTGCAGAGGACCTAGGTTCAATACAGTCACAGAAACAAAAAGCGTGGAGCCAGGGGTGTGGCTCAGTGGAAGAGCACACGTGCAAAGCCTTGGTTTCTGGCCCTGGCTGTGCCCCGCACACACTGGGCTGCACCCCAACCCCATGCTGATCCTGCCTTTGTCTTCGGGATCCTGGTGAGCCCACCGGGCTGTGCTGCCGTGGTAATGGTCCTCTCTGTTTTCTCTCCTCCTTGGACCCAGATGACACCCGCTGCTGCCTGGCTGTGCTGGGCCTCCCTCCTGCTCCTGGCCAGGTGGTCCCAGCCCTGCCCTGGGGGCTGTGACTGTTTCGTGCACAAGGTGTTCTGCGCTGATGAAAAGCTGGCCGCCATCCCTCCAGACATCCCGCCGGATGCCACAGACCTGGTCTTTGTGGAGACCGAGTTCACCGAGGTGGCGCCCCGGGCCTTCAGCGGCAGCCCCAACCTCACCAAGGTGGTCTTCCTCAACACACAGCTCCAGCGCTTCAGACCCGATGCCTTTGCGGGGCTGCGCCGACTGCAGGACCTGGAGGTCACCGGTAGCAACTTCAGCCTCAGCGGTGACACCTTCGTCAACCTGACCTCGCTGGGCCAGATCACCCTGAGCTTTGACAAGCTGCACGCCCTGCCTGAGGACCTGTTCCACGGCTTGGACGTGCTGGAGTCCCTCCAGCTGCAGGGCAACCAGCTGCAGACCCTGCCCCGGGGGATCTTCCAGCCCCTGCGGCACCTGAAGTCCCTCAATCTGGAGCAGAACCGCCTGGAGTGGCTCCCGGAAGGGCTGCTCGACCCGCTCTCCTGCCTGCGGTCCCTGAGGCTCAGCGACAACAAGCTGTCCCAGGGCCTCCCCCGGGGCACCTTTGCCGCCCTGCGCAGCCTGGAGGAGCTCTTTCTGGACAGCAACGCCATCTGTGAGCTGCCCCCGGAGCTGTTCTCCGGGCTCTCCCGCCTGGAGCGGCTGTGGCTGCAGCACAACGCCATCAGCCACCTGCCACCCACCGTCTTCTCCGACCTGGGCAGCCTCACGTCCCTGAGCCTCCAGGGCAACGCGCTGCGGACACTGCCCGCTGGCCTGTTCGCCCACACCCCGCACCTGCTCAGCCTGTCACTGTCCCACAACCAGCTGGCGAGCGTCGTGGAGGGCGCCTTCGCCAACCTGTCCAGCCTCGCGTCCCTCACGCTCTCCCACAACGCCATCGTGCGGCTCCCTGCCGGGGTCTTCCGGGGCCTGCAGGGGTTGGTCAAGCTGTACCTGGGCAGCAACAACCTGACGGCCTTGCCCGCCGGCCTCTTCTACAACCTGTCCAGCCTCCAGCTGCTCAACCTGTCCCGGAACCAGCTGAGCTCGCTGCCGGAGGGCCTTTTCAACACCAACTACAACCTCTTCAACCTCGCCCTGCACGGCAACCCCTGGCAGTGCGACTGTCACCTGGCCTGGCTCTCCAGCTGGCTGCGCCTTTGGAGCGACCAGCTGCTGCACACCCGCACCTACTGTGCCGGGCCCGCCCACCTGCGCGGCCAGGCGGTGCCCGCCTTGAACGAGGAGCAGCTGGTGTGCGCCGCCTCCGGCCACCCGGGGCTGGACCACAAGGCGGCGGAGGGGGGCTGGGATGCGGTTCCGGAGAACAAGGCAGCGCGGAGCCGCTGCACCTACAGCAACGCGGAGGGCACCGTGGTGCTCGCCTGTGAGGCAGGCCAGTGTCGCTGGCTCAGCGTCCAGCTGTCTCCCCGGCAGGGCGCGGGCTTCCAGGCCATGACCTACAATGCCAGTCAGGGCTGGGACCTGAGGTCCAGCTGTGGCTCTGTGAGGGTCACTGTGTCAGTCGGGGATCTGGCAGCAGGGCCCTAGGGGACAGAGCCGGGAGCCCGGGCAGGTGGGGGCCGAGGAGCTGAGTCCTGGAAGCTTTGGCGTTTTGCATCTCCGGGGCTGGGGAGGTGGCGTCTGGTCCCCCCACTTCCGCCCTTACTGCTCTCCTTTTGGAATCTGAGACTGATCGAGGCCTCGTGGTGCCTTGTGAACGCCCTTGAGAGCTGTGCCAAGGTCAGGGACAGTGCCCTCACCCCCAGGGGTCCTCTTATTTAATCCCGGTCCACTGTCCCCCATTCGGCATCCTAGCCAGGAGGGACGGTCGCCACTCTCCCAATTACACGGCCCGGAGGCTCCACACTTTCGATGCCCAGTTCAAAAGCCAGACGTGTGTTCCGATTTCTTTATTTTAATGGATCAGAGGGTAAACGGGGACAGTAGAGGCAGCGGTGGCCAGGAGCTGGGGCATGGCCTGGTTTCCCACGGGGAAACAGCGTTGACCGGGTCCACCTCCTTGGCTGCATAAAGGGGAAACTGAGGCAAGATGGTGCCTTGGGGGGGTCGGAGCAGCTGCTGGCCTTGTGACTTCAGGTCCCAGAGGACTGCAGTGGCTTTGCCAGCTGGGCACCAAGACGGCGGAAGAGGCCCCGGTGCCAGGGAGGGGGTGGCAGGGGCAGCCTGCCCTGGTTCTTGGTTTGCTCCTAGGACCTGATTCTGTGGGCTCCTTTGCTGGACCTGTTCTCTCTCGTTTCGGGTTTCTCTCCTGACCCGGCCCTGGCACCTTGTCACTGTCCCTCGGCTGCCGCCTAGGCTCTGCCTCCTCAGGGGCCCTGCTGTCCGTCTCACACAGCCCAGAGCCAGAGGGCCTGGGCACTGGTGCCCCCATCTCCACCTGGGGCTCAGCGTCTCAGGCACCAACCTGAACCAAGCTCTGTGCCTCCCCACGGCCCCGCCGGGCCGCCTGCCCTGGACGTGGAGGCTCTGGCCAGCGCTTTCCTGCCCCCCGGCCCCGCCCGGTTCCGGCTTCTCCATCCCTGCTGGCCGCCCGCGAGGGAGCTCGGCGCGGCTCTCCCCAGGTGTTGGGCTGGCGGCTGTGGAGACAGGCGGTGGCGGTGACCCGAGGCACAGGGGCCCCCTGCAGCTCAGGGTTTGCGGGAGACACTGGGAGAGAAAACACAAAACCGGTCTGCGCGTGGGGGCGCAGGGCTCAGGTCTGGGGAGCCTGCGGGCTGCCCCGGGGCGGGCGGCGGCGAGGGCCGGCTGGGCAGGGAGGGCGCAGGCGGCCCGGGCACGGTGAGACGAGGGCACCGCACTGAGGCGGGAAAGGCGGGGAGGACGAGGGAGCTGCCGGCCCTGGAGGCCACAGCTGAGAGCGCGGGACGCCCAGGAGGAAGCCAGCCGCACACACAGGTGGGCAGAAGGTCTGGCCCGGACACGCAGAATGCCGCCGAACAGACTGGGGCAACTGCTGTGGGAATCCGCGTGGGGCGTTCTCAAGAAACCCAGATGAGAAATTCCACCCCACCCAGCTATGCCCTTCCTAGATAGCGTTCCTAAAAGGTGACAGACATCCGGTGACAGTGGTCCATGTGTACCCATGTGTACTGCACCACAATTTCACAATAGCTAAGTCTAAGACATAGCCCCTAAGTCCATCCGCAGATGAATGGATAAAGAAAATGTATTTGCACACAATGGAATACTACTATGCCATAAAGAAGGACAAATCGCGTCATTTGCAGGAAAATGGGTGCATCTTGAGACCATAAGCTTAAGTGAAATAATTCAGACACACAAGCTTAAACGTCCCATGGCTTCCTTTTATGTGAGAAACCCAATATATAAATTAAAGAACAAAATAAAAAATAGTAGGAAACAGGGAGATGATCTTTTGTACGGGGAAGGGGATCAAGAGATAGAGGAGGCCCCTCGAGGGGGGTGATCGTGACGCATGGTAGATGTGAATGAACCTGAAAGGCGACAGCGAGGCCAGCAGCACCCACCTCTGTTGGTCCCAGGAGGACTCGGAAGCTGGTGGTGCTGAGTGTGGCCGGGCGGTGGGTCCCAGGCAGCGCCTAGGGGCTGCCGGCCAGTGTGGCCCTCTGAGGACAGTCCCACAGCTCTGAGCCCAGGAGGCTGGACCGGGGAGCTGTGTGTGTCTAGGGGACGGCGAGGCAGGAAGGGGGCACCAGGAGCCCGGTCTTTCCACAGGTGGGTGAGGGGCGCCATGGGGCTGTGACCAAGGGCAGGGGCGGCTTGAGGGGGACGGAGGGGCGAGGGCTACAGCTGACAGGAAGCACGACTTCTCCATCATCTCCCACGGGGCATTTTACCAACAGCTTCAGGAGGCCCAGACTGATTCCAGTTTAAGGTGCTGGGAGGTGGATGTGGCTAGCACATGCATTTATTCCAGCACTTGGAAGGCTGAAGCAGGAGGATTGCTGCGAGTTCAAGGCTAGCCTGGGCTACATAGCGAGACCCTATCTCAAAAAACAAAAGCCGAGCCAGGTGTGGTGGCGCATGCCTATAATCCCAGCACTTGGGAGGCTGAGGCAGGAGGATCATTTCGAGTTCTACGCCAGCCTGGGCTACAGTGTGAGCTCAAGGCCAGCCTGAACTGTACAGGGAGACCCTGTCAAAAAAAAAGATAAAGAAAAGGACAAAAAAACATGAACCAAAAGCCAACCAACAAACAGCGAGGGGAAGTAGCAGATTCACCCAGGCAGCAGCTTACCAGGTCCACTCAGGTCTGTTCCCAGAATCACTTGGTGTACCAGTGAACGTGATGCATTTCCCAGGGCGGGAACTTGGCCTTAGAGAGGCTGAAGAGGCCAGCTGTGCCAGTGCAATGCCACCATTATTTCAGGACAGGGTCATGCTAAGTTATAAAGTTGCCCAGACTGGGCCTGAACTTGTGATCCTCCTGCCTCAGCCTCCCAGGACTGCAAGGATGAACCACCCTGCCCGGCCAAGGATGCTGTTGTTTTTGGAAAGCTCACTGTAGAGCAGTGTGCTGCTGGCCCACCACAGCCTCGCACGCCTGGCGTGTGCACCCCTCAATGGCACCCCTAGGCCACGTGGAGTGACCGGCCTGTGCCGTGGCTGTTTGCCTCAGTACTACTCCCAGGGCCTCGTGACTGCGGGTCACACTCGCCTGCGATGCTCGTATCCCCGGGTGAAGTGACGCTGAGTGGGGAAGGAGTGGGACAGTGGCGGTGCCTGGGCGGGAGCACAGCTCAGCGGCCGCCAGAGTTCTTTCCTCATTTGCCGCTTGCCTCTCTGGAGCCGGCGGTTGCGCGGAGTCTGGTCTCAGGACGCCCCCTGGTGGCGCACTGGAAGAACAGCTCTCCCGTGGCCCGGGACACACCTGACTGCGGCGTATCCTGGGCGTGAGGAAGCACGAGGTCGCCTGGGCGTCCAGCAGCAAGGTCGGCGTAGGGCAAGTCCCCGCTGGGCCGGGCTTGGAAATGTGGGGCGTTCCAGATGGGCACAGGGGTGTTACGTGTCCTGCACGATACTGACCTGTCCCTCGCTTCCCGTGACTTCTGAACGTGCTACCGGACAGCGACGCGGCGCAAACCCTGTCGCTGAGGATCGCCGCCCGGAGTCTGCTCCTGGGGCCTGTGTCCGTCCAGACACGCGAAGCTGTGTGCACAGGGTCCAGGGGCCCGGGAGCGGGTGCTTTGTGCTCCTCCTCGGAGCTCTATGGAGTTGTTCAGCCAGGCGTGGTGGTTCAAGCCTGTCAGTCATCCTAGCACTTCAGAGGCTGAGGCAGGAGGATCGCTGTGAGTTCGAGGCCAGCCTGAGCTACATAGTGAGAGCCCGTCTCAAAACAACAACAACAAAAGTATTACGATAAAAGACGGAGTGCCATCAACTGCCCTCAAAATACCCGCAAGTGTACTGCCGCCGGTGACCTGGGCCCTGCATTGTCCTTGACCTTAAGGGACTGTCTATCTCTTGAGCCTCTGTTCCCTGTGTCTAAGTGAGGGGCTATGATCCTGCAAAAACCCCTCCCCACCCCTCCCTCCTCCTCT